GCTTTACCGAGTACACTCCGCTCACGGCTTCCCGCGAGCGCATTCTGGCGGAGTGTGCCAGCACCGATTTCAAGGAAGGCGGTGTCAAACGTCCCCGACCTGCTCCTGCCAAGCCCGGAGCAGACAAAAACAAATATTGTCAGTACCATAGGAGCCATGGTCACCTGACTGAGGATTGCGTCCACCTCAAGGACGCCATTGAAACCCTCATCAAGGGAGGGAGGCTCGCACAGTACAGGCGAAGCGACACTCCCCGTCGTGACGCCCAAGAAACCAGGGAGCCAGAAGAAGACGCCCGACCATCTGACGAGTCGGTGCCCATCCAAACTGCCTTCTCCGTGACCAGGCCCGAGGATTTCGACTTCCCCGAGCACCTGCAAGAGCCACTTACAACGCACAGCAGGTGGGAATACTTCCCCTCCGCCCTGGTCATCAACGGCGGCGGGTTCAACGACTTGACCATCAATTCAGCCAAGAGGAAGCTGGACGAACTGGTCGACGCGGCTCCCCCTCAAACAGTGACGTTTGAAAGGGTGAAGGGCAGGTCAGAGCCCATTACCTTCTACCTGGAAGAACTCCCCGGTGGAGCCCCGAACGCGGTCATCACCTTACTGATAAGGGCAAGAATGGCCAATTTTGATGTACATCGCATCCTGGTCGACGAAGGAAGTTCCGTCGACGTCATGTACAACCAACTGTTCCGGACCCTTCAGCTGGACGACTCACATCTTTCACCATATGTGGGTTCAGACTTACAAGGTTTCAACGGATCGACCTCCAAACCCTGGGGATATGTCGAGCTTCTGGTTACGTTCGGGAAAGAGACGGCCACAAGACAAGTCAAAGTACGCTTCCTTGTCATCGACTGCCCGTCTCTGTACAACTGTATCTTGGAGAGACCGACACTGGCTGAGCTGACGGCGGTACCCTCGACCGTCCACCTGAAGATGAAGTTCTATACCAGGAGGGCACGGGTAGCCACTATCCAAGGAGACCTAGCCGCTGCCTGCAGGTGCTTCAACGCCGCTTCTAAGGGACGTGATACCGTCGACATAGGGACCAGACCCGCCAAAAGGACAAAACAGGAGCCCGACAGGAAAGCATCCCCTGAGGAAGAAGTCCAGAAAGCTCCACCAAAAGTCGATTCTATAGCTCTGGACACCCGCTTCGACCAGGACGAGCCATCCAGCAGCGAGCAAATCCCACTCCGACCAATACCGGATGGGGATTTTGAACTCGTTCCCCTCGGCATAGACCCGACCAAGGGAGTGAAGATTGGCAAAGACCTCCCCGACCTGGCCAGAAAGCAAATCAAGGCCTGTCTGCGCGAGAATGCTGATCTGTTCGCCTGGAGCGCCGCGGAGATGCCCGGACTCGACCCTAAGGTCGCCTGTCACCACCTCGCCATTGATCCAGCCGCTAGGGCCGTAGTACAACGTAGGCGTGAGCAGTCTCCAAAAAAAACGGAGGCTGCTGAAAAAGCTGTAAAAGACCTCCTAAAGGCAAATTTTATTTCTGAAGCCCGGTATTCCACCTGGCTGTCAAATGTTGTACTCGTGAAAAAGAATAATGGAAAATGGAGGATGTGCGTTGATTATATCGATCTCAACCGGGCTTGCCCGAAAGATGCTTTTCCCTTGCCTAACATAGATATGCTGGTCGACAACTCGGCCGGCTACAAAACTTTGTCGTTCATGGACGCCTACTCGGGCTATAACCAAATACCGATGGCCATGGGCGACAAACACTGCACGGCATTCATGACCAGCTCGGGCAACTATTACTACAACGTAATGCCCTTCGGACTAAAAAATGTCGGAGCAACTTACCAGCGCATGATGAACAGAGTTTTCAACAAACAGATCGGCGACATGCTCGAAGTATATATGGACGACATGATCGTCAAGTCCCGAGCAGACATCGACCATGCAGCACACCTCAAGACAGTCTTTGCCCAAGCAAGACAGTGTAAAATGAGGTTCAACCCCGAGAAATGTACGTTCGGGGTTAAGGCAGGAAAATTCCTTGGATTCTATCTAACAGAACGGGGAATCGAAGCCAACCCCGACAAATGCCACGCATTCTCCGACCTCCCAACATCGACGTCGAAGAAGTCGATACAAATCATGAACGGCATGCTCACGTCGCTGTCCCGCTTCATCGCAAAATCCGCTCAGCACGCCCTCCCCTTCTTCAAACTCCTTCGAAAGGAAGCAGCCTTCGAATGGAATGAGGAATGCGAGCAGGCACTACGCCACCTAAAGCAAAGTCTATCTCAGCCGCCCGTGCTATCTCGACCAGACGACGGAGAACCGCTGTACTTGTACTTGGCCGTTTCGAACGAAGCCATCAGCGCAGCTCTCGTCCGCGAGACACATGACGGATAGAAACCCGTTTACTTCACGAGCAAAGCCTTGCAAGGGCCCGAAAGCAGATACCAACAGATAGAAAAGGTGGCTCTGGCCCTCGTCAACGCGGCGAGGAGGCTCAAACACTATTTTTTGGCCCACACGATCATTGTGCGTACCGACCAACCGGTGAGACAACTCCTGGGTCGGCCAGATATGGCGGGCAGAATGTTGAAATGGTCCCTGGAACTCTCTGAATTCGACATTCAATACGAGAGTAGGAAAGCCCTGAAAGCACAGGCCCTGGCCGACTTCGTCGCAGAGATGACCACTTACGACCCACCCCCAGGGAAGGAACACAAGTGGATCATCTTCGTCGACGGAGCATCCAGCTCGTCCGGAAGTGGCGCAGGAATCCTTTTGGAAAATGAAGAGGGCGTAGTGATCGAGCACTCCCTAGCCCTTTCCTTCCCGACATCAAATAATCAAGCAGAGCATGAGGCCCTGCTCGCAGGATTGAGGTTAGCCGAGGACCTGGGAGCCCGCGAGGTACAGATCTACACCGACTCCCAACTCGTCGCCTCCCAAGTCCAGGGGAATTACCAAGCCAAAAACGACAACCTCATTGAATACTTGAAGAAAGGCGGGAACAGATCCGTCATCCAAGAATCTCTGGCACGCCCGAGCATCGAAAGATCCTCGACGCCGGTCGAAGTGCACGCCATTGGAGACGCCTCGTCCTGGATGACCCCGGTCTACAACTTCTTGACAAAAGGCGAACTTCCAACAAACCAATCCGAGGCGACCGCCACAAAACGGAGAGCATGCTCTTACGTGGTGCTCGAGCACAAACTGTACCGCAGGGGATTCTCCATCCCCCTCCTAAAATGCATAGACGAATCCATCGTCCCCGAGGTACTGCGAGAGATACACGAAGGGATCAATGCCCAGCACATGGGCGGCAAGTCCTTGGCGAGGAAAGCCCTTCGAGCAGGATATTACTGGCCGACAATGCAGCAGGATGCCAAGGAGCACGTCAAGAAATGCGACAAGTGCCAGAAACACGGCGACATGCACCTCACCCCGCCTCACGAGCTGAGCATACTATCGTCCCCATGGCCATTCGCGTGGTGGGGTATGGATATCCTCGGACCCTTCGTGCAAGGGACTTATCAAAATAAGTTCCTAATCGGGGCGGTCGATTACTTCACGAAGTGGATCGAGGCCAAGGCCCTCGCGAAGATCACCTCGCACAATATCCTCCGCTTCTACAAAAGAAATATCCTCGCCAGATTTGGGATCCCGAGTGCACTGGTGACCGACAACGGCACTCAATTCACCGACCACGGATTCCAAGACTTCGTCACCAAACTAGGGACAAAACAACACTTCACTTCGGTCGAGCACCCTCAAACAAACGGGCAGGCCGAGGCCGCGAACAGGGTTATCCTCCGGGGACTCAAACGTCGACTCGGCGAAGCCAAGAGGGGATGGGTCGAGGAGCTCCACAGCGTCTTGTGGGCTTACCGCACAACGCCCCACTCGACGACCGGCGAGACCCCATTCCGACTAACATACAGGACTGAGGCCGTCATCCCGGTCGAAATCATGGAACCATCCAGACGGACCGAGAGCCCCCTCGACGAAGAAATGAACGACGAAGCACTAAGGGACGAACTCGACTTAGTCGAGGAAATCCGATCTGGTGCAGCCCTGCGTGAAGCCACCCTAAAGCAACGAGTGGCTCTACGCCACAACGACAAGGTCATCAAGCGCGAGTTCGAAATCGGCAGCCTGGTATTATGAAGGAACCAGAAAGATTCCCGCGAAGGAAAGCTGGCCGCGAACTGGGAAGGACCTTATCGCGTCCACGGCACCACTGGTACCGGGGCATACTACCTCGAGCAATTAGACGGAGAGTCATTACCACGACCCTGGAACGCTGCTAAGCTAAATCAGTACTATAGTTAAAAACTACCAACACCTAGGACCCTCGACCATCGGCACCCGCGCTCGGTCAACGAGGAAAAAACGTCTGACTCCGTAGAGAGGCTGGGGTACGAGCCCGACCTATGGCTAAACCACACGACATCGCGGATCAAACGAGACCAATCGATAGTGCCCGACGTGGACAACAATACCGAGCTCCACCGTCGCAGTACCTGTAAGGCAGAACACCTAGTTCGCGATGGGCAGTTCACACCAAGGGCAAATAGTCCCTACCGGGCCTCGCGCCCGATTGAGCGACTCTGCTCCATCTGCCCGACAAATCGTCAAGAATGAAGGGTCATCTAGAAGGGTCAAAAGGGAGTCTCTCCCCTCGAGTGCAACACTTAGGTGACTCTGGCCATCGAGAAAAGGCCGGGCACATATATAAACAAAAGGCGGGCAAATTCGTCAGCTAGGTCACAGCCACTTACGGGCACTCCTCGGGCCCATAACTTAGGCTAATTTTTATGCAAAAATATAAAAATCAAGCACGGGCAAACAATCAAATTTGAAACAGCATTCATTCAAAAAACGCCCGAAGGCAACAAAGCAAATAAGTATAAACCAACCAAGAAGGCAGGCGATGTTCGTGAAGTACAACCAACGGGCACGCAGGCCCAAAAAATACAAACAAATATCAATAAGGCACGCAGGCCCATCATCCTACAATCCAGTCTCCCCGGAACCATCATTGTCGACAACAAGAGAGTCGGGCGGGGGCACGATCGCGCCATCCACGATCTGATACATGTAGCCCGTCCCTTCAGTGATCAAACCAGGATTCAGCAAGGAAAGCTGGCCGACTGCGGAGTCGAACCCCTCCTCCATAGCGCCGACGCAATCTACTTCGAGGAGCCGGATATGGGCGACCAGCTCTGATCGACTCTTCAAAGCGGTTATATCCTCCGGCTCGTCCTCGGCAGGAAGCATGGAGACTTTCAGGTCCTCGATCTGTTGGGTTAGGCGCCCGATGTCGGTCTCCAGACGCTCCCGGTCCGCACGGAGAAGCTCTCCCTCCTCGGCTAGCTTCCCCGAGTTTTCCTTCTCCAGAATCAGCATCTCCCTCTCGGCAGCCAGCAGCGATGCCTGTTCGCGGAACATCTCCTTGGAGCGTTCCAGGGCAGTCCTTAATTTGCGCGAACTCGAGGTGAGGGTCGCTTTCTTCTGTTCCAATGCTTCAATGCGGACAGGATCCTCCCCTTCCTCGGACAGCACAACGGCCATTTCGGCCATTTTCACCAGCCCGGCCATATTGGCGGCCAGGTGCCTCCTCCGGTCCTCCTTACTCATCCTCCTGATAACCTCAGCCTCATCGGCAGTCACGGACAAAGGGAACCCCTCGAAGAAACCCTCCTCTTTGAAGCAAGGGGCAACCCGAAGGACCTTACGGCGCTGGAATCCTCGCCGACCGCCGGCCCACTTTCCACCCGGTTCCTTTTTCTTTGTATCAGGTCGGCATGTGGCTCGACCTCTTGAACCTCTGGGATCTCTTTCGACGCAGCCCCCGAGCTAGGCGACGAATCCACCCTCACCACATGAGGAGCGCCCGGACTATGCGGCGGGGCCATCCTCGTTGCTTGGGGAGCCTTCACAACCCTCCTGTCCCGCTTCTGGTCACAAGACAGCTTCAAGAGTCTCTCCCGTCGCTCGGCCATCGAACCTGCACAATAAAAAACCGGGTTAGTGTCGAGCAAATAAACAGACAAATGACGAGCAAAGAAATTCAAGTAATAAACGACCTAGCAGACGAGCAGCCTGCCTGAACGTCTGACACTCCACGAGCGCCTTGGTATCGATCGGTCGGGCCTCGAATGTCGGATAATCCTCCTCGTCCAGGACATCTTCCCCTTCCCTCGTAGCCCACCTGGCGGGGTGGAAGCTATCAACGTACCGACAAAGAGTGTCATAAGCTTTTTCATCCTCGGAACCCATGTCGCCCGCAGAAGTATGATAATACCCAGTTCCGTGCTCGTAATGCCTAGAAATCCAATGCACGGGGAACTTGGTCGTGCGTCCCAACACCGGATACCCGTCGTTGTCTAAAAGTGCCTCCCCGTCATCGTCGCTTACCGGCGCTTCATCCTCGTATATGGACTCTAAAGCGGCTGTGGTAACCGGCCTCACGACATACCACTTGTCTTTAAAACCCCGCACGGAGTCCATATACATCTTGAATAGTCTCTTCGACTGCTTCAGGGAGACCCAGCTGTGCTTTCCTCCCCGGGACTGGCGCTGCAGATGGAAGATTCTGAAAAAGAGGGGTATAGTCGCCCCGATCCTCAGAAAACGACAGGTCAGCTCAAACGCCCGGATAAAGGCGAGCGAGTTCGGGTGTAGCTGCGACGGGGCCAACCCCAAATGGGCAAAGACCCCGGCCTGAAAGTCGCTGAAGGGCAGCTGCAGCCCAAGGTCTTTGAATGCGATTTCGTACATGGGGAAATTGTACTCGGGGAACACCGAGCAAATCCGAGCAGTGGAGGTCGGTCGTGTAACGACGAAATTCTTTTGAAAATCAGGCTGGTCGTTGCTCGCCTCAAGGATATCGTATGGCCTTCGGCTACGCCGACTATAGACCGAGGCGATTCCTCTAGGCTCGGCGCCCACCCAGTCCAACAGAGGGTCTTCTACGGTGTCGATCAAACTCACAGCCTCATCGGCACTTTGTTCTTCCCTTTCGGGGCGTCCGAAAGAGCACGGCTCGTCCGCCATGGTTACCTATAGAGCACGGGAAACCAGTCAATTGGGCACGAAACCATACGCTCGTCGTAACAGAAAAGATGGAGTGCGCGACAAACCAGGTCGCCCCCACGCACGACCACAAAGTTGGTTTGAAACAAATAGCAGTCGCCTCCCCGACTTCCAAGACACCACGACTGGCCCTTCTGCAAGCCGCCTAAACAAACCGACAACGCGGTCACTCATGAATACGCCGACCCGGGGTATGAACATGGCGAACAACATCATAAAGCCTAAAGCCAGCACCATGAACATACCGGGCACGACCATGAATTGGGCGCCCTGGATCATGAAGACCCCGGGCAGCGCTGCAGATTATAGACCTAAACCATGTATCTACCGGCCACGCGTACGTGTTTGCTGACCCTAAGCATGAATTTGTCGAGCTAAACATGAATTTACCGGGCTAGTCCCACGCGCACAGCCCCTAAAACGTCTAAAACGATGAAACTCATGCATCAAAACAGAAAAACAGGGAAGATAAGTCACTTACTTGGAATCAAGGAGTAGATTCGGAACGGAGGAAAGGAATCGGTGACGGAGATCGCGGCGATGCTATGAGAATCTGGAAAAACAACAGCAGCAGAAGCGCGAAGAGTAGTAACGCGTTATGGGGTCCAAGAATCCTATTTATAGTGATGACGTGGAATACCAAACGTCACCTCGGGCAACCACAGAATTTCTCTCCTCGACGCACGACTCCCTAGGTAATAATGACCCTACCCTCATAGGGTGGCGGCACAGTTCCCAAAAGATACCACGCGTGCTCGGCATACGCATGCCGTTGGGGAATCCCCGAGCACTCCCCGCGAAGGACTCGTCCCCGGCCACGATACGGGGAAGCCCTCGAGTACCCCCGCGAGGAGCTGCGTCCCTGTCCCGGGCACGAGACTCCGAAACGGAAGCAACCTAAGATCAAGCCATGGCTCCTAACCCAAGGAACCACGACTTGGGGGGCTCTTGTTCTGGACTGGGCCCGACTGGCCCAATAGCATTGATAAGGCCCAATCCAAACGGATTTGCTGAGGGCCACGCTGACCAAAGGATCACAGCCGTGTCCGACATACTCCTTGGGGCTACTTGCTCGACCTCCTGCTGTCCAGCTCGACCTCAGCTCGAGCACCCCTCCTAGGGCAGACTCGGTCCACTGCACCCTCACCTGGGTCCCGAAAAGATCGCGTCTCTGTCCGTTCGCACTTCACGCAGAACATCCAGGGAGGGGACCACGTGCGGGTCCCCACTACGCACGTAGAACCTGGCAGTTCCTCCATTGGGCCAAACCTGCCCGGCCCAATGAAGGAACCTTGGCCCAACGCTGAGGGCTATAAATACCCTATGTTTCTAGAGGGTCAGGTATTCATCATTCTACCCATACTCTTACTATTGCCTGCTCGTGCTCTTACTCACTTCAGCATCGGAGTGTCTTGCAGGTACCCCCTACCTCGTTCAAAACTTTCAGCTCGGAGCCAGCCGTGACGGTCCAAGTCTGATCAAGTTAGATCATATTGTATTCATAAATTGACCCAAAATAGAAAAGAATATTTAAAAAAAAATTGAAATTTTGTACTACATTAACTTTTATTTATTTTTTTTTTTTTTAAAAATTTGGCAAATTTATATTCTTTTAATTTTACTTTTTCTACTACTACATGTGTGTTGATTTACTAAAATTAAGAATCGAATATCATAAGAATATTGTTTAAAGATTTTCATAAAGAGAAATTTTGTGATAACTACACAAAGAGAATATTTTGTCAAAGTGATAATCATATTAATTTTTATACAAAATTTAATTCTTTTGATTTCCTATAAAAAAAAATTGAATTCTACTATAATTAAAAAGACAAAAAAATAGGCAACTATTCAAAAGTTGACGGAAAAAGAAAGTGTATTAAAATTTGACTCTCTACCCTAGACAACCCAATTTCAAACTCCGCGTTGAGCTCAGCAGCATTACGTTACCCCCACTCCCTTCACATCACACACAACGTGATCGTTCACTAATAACCGCTCACGCGTTTTCCGTTACATCTTATCAATCCACCTTGCACTTTAACGTGAACACGAACAAAACACCAACCACAAAATAACTAATCATTCATTATAATATACGCTTCCGAATAAAATAAAATATCAACTCAACCAGCATAGTCCTAAACCTACGCTACGCGTTATTCGTTCATATCAAACTCATTAAACTTTATCGAATCAAAATTAAAATTAAAATTAAAATCATATTAAAATTCGAATAATGCATTGCGTGAAAGTTAATCAAACACGTAACATTGAACTAAGATTTAACTAATACTAGTATAGTTCAACTTTTCAATGATTCTTAAACAACATCGCATTTGTTGAAAATTTAAATATCAATATTTGCAGTATAACATGGATCATAACTGCAATTTAGAATCATTGAATAGTTGAACTACAATTCACAGAACTGTATGATCACAGATTCGCGATCATTCCGTGGATAAATCAAATCATCAATGTCTAAACCGAAAACTACTCATCTACTTCAACTGATTCTGCAAACTAAAATCCTAAAAAAATAATCTAAAGCTTTGAAAATATCATGAAAAATGTACAGAAGAAATTACTAAACCCTAACCGTTTGAAGAAACGAAATCCGAACCTAGCGAGCCATCATCTTCTTGAACTCCTCGAAGTTACAGTTTCCATCGCCATCAACATCAACGTTACTTATCATTCTCTGGCAATCACTGAGAGAGCACTTCTCGCCGAGTTTCATCATAACAGAATGTAGTTCATTAGCAGAGATAACGCCGTTTTTGTCAAGATCGTAAAGATTGAACGCATCGCGAAGCTCATCGGAGTCGTCTTTTCCGGCGTCGGAGAAGTGAAAATCAGCGAATTCTTTGAGATCAATGTAACCGTCGCCGTTTTGATCGATTTCGTCCATCATGCGTTTCACTTCTTCGGAGGTGGCTTTGGATCCGAGCGTTGAGAGCATTTCCTTCAGCTCGGAGGAGGAGATTTTTCCGTCGCCATTTTTGTCGAACTTGCTGAAGATTTTCTGCACTTCATCGTCCATAGCGTACTTTTTTAGAGAGAGAGAGAGAGAGAATTGTAGTATCTGTTGCTACTTGCTAAACGACGCGGAGGGCTTTGGATTTGTGGTGTAATTTATATAGCGCCGTTTAATTTTCACGCGTTTTCTGTTTTCACGCGTTCTTAGGAATGGGAAGTTGGAACCATAAAGAATGGGTGGACCGTGGAGTGGGGTTTTGATTGACTGCACTTGAGTGTACGGTAAGGATTAAAAGGTATGGTGATGTGACGTTTCGGTTTTAATATACTATGACACGTGTCGAAACAGCACGTGATAAAGTGTATGAATAGTTTGTACACAGTTTCGAACCGGGCCGAACGATCTTGAACCGGATAACGGCTAAATTTTAAATATTGCTGTAACCTAATATTTGAAACAAATTCTAATGTCAAAATATCTGAGGATTGATTTTTCAAAAGCCAATTAAGAAAGTACATCTGCGCATGTTATTCTGATATGAAAATTAATATTAGAAAACGCAACACCACTTTTTTTCAAATGAAACATTTTTTTTGCAATTGATTTTTTAATATTTTCTGCTCCTAAATTAAAGTCTTCTACACATTAAATACAATTTGACCACTACTTAATGTCATTTTCATAACTTTTTCTCTTCTTTTCTTTATGGTTTCTTCTTTTTTTTCTACCATCTTTCTCTGAGAAGGGATTTTCTCCCGTGCTTTTCTCTCAATTTTTTCTATAACGAAATCTGGACCATTAGTTAAAAAGAGATTGAAAGACAAAAATATACCAGAAAATGAAAAGCAGATGGAATTTTAATGGTGCAGATTTGCACTTCTCTCTCTCCGGTGTAAATAGTCTTCTCCCATCTTTCTCCTCTACTATCTTCTCCTCTTTATTTTCTTTACTGCTTTTGTTTCGTATTTATCTTTTCCTTCTTCTATTATTCAATTTTTATAACAGTTTTATATTTTTTGCAGAAATAACATATTTATGACAATTTTTTTGACATATTTGTGACGCATATTTTTTTATTGTCGTGGTTTTCGAGAACTTATATCTAGTTGATGTAAATCGTTTCATCAAGGAGTTATTGGAAAGTCATGGTTAGTTACACTGGAAAAACTTCAATAACATAATCAGATATGTTTAATCAATGAGTTGTTGGAAACTTTGCTTTTATGTCTTTGTAAAAGCTTCAATAACATAATCAGATTTAGTATATCTTGTTTGACAATTTTATCTTCATAAATAGAGACAACAGATGCATTTTGCCATTTTATCTTTAAAACCATAGTCAAATCCACCAAAGTATCAAGTGTCAATGGAAATTCAAGAGAATCACTTGTTCCGGCCTATTTAAGGTCATTGCTAATAGATTTAGTAAGTAAATAGACAATAGGTACAATATAGAGGTATAAATTTTGATTATACGGTAGTAACCGACCTCAAGCATGTTGTTACGCATTTGAGCTGCAGTAAGTTTCAAGAGCTCAAAAGTCTCGCGGTCCCATATAGCAAATGTAGGTTTGGCTCCAGCATTTACAACTTCAATTAAAATCTTATATAAATGTGGTAATAAATTGAACAATGAGATGTATATATGGAGAAGTAAGTAGGTATATAAGATGTATTGTATAGGAAGATTCACCTGAAAATTTCAGTTTCAGTTTTGTGGCCATCACCACAGACATAAGGTGGTTGACCTCCTTTGACAACCCTTGAACACCGACATACTTGGTAATACCAAGCTCCTTGAACAACTGAATTTGTTGACTTTGGCGAGTGTAACACATTGAATAATCTGAAATTGAAACGACATCAAATAAACGATTTGATATAAGTTATGTTCACATAACAATAAATATGAAGAAACGGCATAAAATGAGATTAATTGTTACTTCTTTGAGTTTTATAATGTTCCCTAGAGGAAGAA